AAAAAAAAAAATGCACTGTTTGTTCTGCCGACACCTGATGGGAGGGTCCCTGTCTCCCAGTCTCTGTGTGGGAGGGTAGGAGCCCAACTTTGACAAGCACCAGTTTGCAAACCCAGATGATTTTCCTATGGACCAACCCCCTCCCCCACTTTTTAGAAACTTCTACTTCCCTGATCCCGTTCAAGCCCCTGCCATCTTCCCTCATCCCCCAATCTCTCATTGTAAAGGGACGCATGTTTGGGGGTGGGTGGTGAGGAGTGCATTTTGTATGTGGAAGAGATACGGATTGCTATGGCCGGAGTGGACTGTGGTGTATAATTTCCAAGGGAGCCTGTCAATAATCTTCCTCATTCCTGGATAGATGCCCTAACTCTCACCCTGGATCGTGACTTGCTTTGACCAACAGAACTGGGTGGAAGCAGCTTGGATCCCAGAGCCCGTGTCTTAAAAGGCCTCATACTTTCTGCTTTTGGCCTTTTAGGATATAAACACCCCGTAAAAAGTTCAGGTTAGTTTACTGCGTGATGAGAGACATACAGAGAGGGGCCCGGGTGACCCCCAGACATTCCAATCGCTCCTAGGTAAGAGGCTGGGAATGTGAATAAAGTCCTCTTGGATCCTCCAGTCCCAGTCAAGTCATCCCAACCGACACTATGTGACTTAGAGACGAGTTCTTTCTGCTAAATACTGCCAAGAATCATGAAGAATTAAGTGAGTGTTATTTGTGATATCATTAAGTTTTGGAATGATATATGCAGCAACAAATCCCTGACACACCTGTGTAAAGAGGAGAGGTAGAAAAGTGCAGAACACAATCAAGAAATTTACTCAGTTCTTCTTTAGCACGCCTTTGTGGGTTTTGCTTGTTTTTACCTATTATCTGATATCCTGTAACTTTAAAATAGTATAATTGAGGGGTGTCTGGGCGGCTCAGTCGGTTAAGCATCCTACTTGATTTCAGCTCAGGTCATGATCTCGCGGTTCGTGAGTTCGAGCCTCACGTCAGGCTCTGCACTGACTATGGAGAGCCTGCTTGGGAGTCTCTCTCTCCCTCTCTCTCTGTCTCTCCCCTGTTCATGCTCTGTCTCTCAAAAATAAATAAATAAACTTAAAAAACAATAATATAATAGTACAATTGAATAAAAGATTTCCAAGCACCAGTGAGGTAGTGATTATAGGCTAAAATGCCAACACACATTATACACAGCAACAAAACTGATTTCATCCTTGCCCAATAATATAAAACTAATATAATAATAATATAAAAGCCAAGAATATAAAACTACACTGGGAAGTTTGATTCCACTATTAAAAAAAAAAAAGTTGGCTCTGGGTCCTTAAGGCGAATTATGACACCGATTAACCAAATAAATGCCTTGGCAGGCAGGCACGGAGTTAGCACCACAAGTGTGCAGGTTGTGCACAGCAGAATTCTGGGTGTGCTGTCAACAGAGACCATGATGTGAATGGCACCCCCTGAAGTGGTCCAAATCAGCAAAACTGTATAGAGAGGCTATCGTAGGCAAAGACGAAACATGAGTTTGCCCTTGAAAATCTGGCATTCTAGTAGGAGCTGAGGGACAGAGGATTAACAATGGCACAGACATATAAATGTAATGATGTCCATGTACTAAAGAAAAGACCTTGAACCTGAGAAGTGAAAGCAAGAATACTAAGGCGTGTAAAATGCACATAAGTAAAATCATCACACACATAGAGGGTGCGGCTTACCTGACATGCTGATGGATGACTGTGGTTGAGATCCCAATGGGAAGACACTATGTCAACAGACTTTTTGGCCATGTTGAGTAAATTCATCCAGCCTTGGAAAAGTGATAAGTGAAATGGTGCATTTTCTGAATAGTTAAGGCCTTCAGGAATATTTTCCACCAGGGCAATTCTTAGAAAAGATTTTGAAAAACAAACAAACAAAATCCAGTCAAATTTGGAGCCACAGATCTTTATACATACATACACAGACATATGGAACATACTCTTTTACTCTTTGCAAATATATATGTTCCTCATCATTCACATTTTCCACCAAAGGCCTCTTACATTTCCCCTATGCTAACCTTCCCAGTTCTGAGAGCTTAGGCTCTGTTTTTCCCCAGTTTTTGCTTGTATTTCAGAAAATCATGGTATATGTCTCTAATGTCCAGCTTCAAACTAGCCTTGAAAGAAAAATTCAGAGCTTCCTACACAAGCATCTTCCTCTAGTAATATATTCCTTTTTTTCCAACAGTAATGCAATTCTGAAATACAAGAGTACTTCTGTGAGCTACTGTAGGCTGTAAATTAAGTTTTGCATGTTTCCAGTTTCTAGTACAATGTTTGGCATATATAGAACTAATTTAGAAACTGAAATATTGTGAGTTTTATTACTATTAGAAAATAAAAATAAGAAATACTATTATTACTGCTTAACATCTCTACTGATTCTTCCCAGCTAAAGGATATAAAGAAATTCTTAAACCTGCCTATTGCAGGGTTTTATTAAAGTTGGAGATAAGGAATATATTCCATAGTAGCAATAACCAAACCTTAAATAAAATACAACAAAGGTATCCTAATAAATGTGTTTTTTCTTTCTATACTTCCTTGTATATGGACAACACATTCGCTGTGCCTGGCTCTGCTTGGTGCTGTGGTTGAGACTGTGTGGTTTCGCTTCTGACACATCATGTTTTAATAAAGGAATGAACTCTTTTTTTTCCCAGTTTAAGACCTGTCAACTCTTGATGGAAAACTTCATATTCATGAAAATACCTATAAGTGCTTCCCGAGCAGAGATCTGTCTCATTTACGGCTATGCATCCCCAGTGCTGGATACATAATTAGAGCTCAAGAAATACCTATGGAATGAATTTCAGCTTTCAACACAGAATCCAGCACTTCTCACTAGAACAGTTAGCTGCTTCTCTTAATGACACTTGTTCCATTCAGCCGTTTTAGAAATAAAAGCAATACTCTTAGTAAAATGTTCTGGTGCGTTTGATGATTATCACAGCCAGAACGGATGTGGGTATGTGACCCAGAGACATCCACAGTTCGGGGATCTCATCAGCCTGCCGCCATCCGCAATCAAATTTAACGTTTGTTGAGGCCTGATAAGCACAGGACAGGAGACTCAGAACTGACTGTGACAAATCTCCCTAGTCCTCTGAAATTTACAATCTAGAGAGAGACAGCCTATCTCCTACCTAATAATTCAAGCAGGAAGTAGACCGCTACGAAATGGTGAAACAAGACTAAGAAGTTTAATTAGATAGATAATGCATCATCTGAAGTCCCATTGGCACACGGCAGGAAGGAAAAATTAATTCTGGTTGGAGGCTGGCGGCATCTGGAATTGGAGGAGTAGGACTGGAAATGAGTCTTCCAAGGTGGGATTTTATGGGTGAGCTGGAAGAGACAGGTGCTCCAGGTAGAGAGAGGAGCCTGTCAAACAGTGTCCTTGCCTCAGGCACAGGAGCATGCCCGGTGGAGAGGGCGGGCAGCGCCTGCAGGGACCACACGGTGGCTGTGAGCCAGGAAGAGGAGAGCTTGGGCTTCATTTTGGTGCATCTGGGAGCAGCCAAGTTCATTAGGGGCTCACCCTCAGGCACACTGTATGCCACTGGAAGGTGAAAGAGGAGACCCAGAGATGGCAAGTCAGTGGAGAGAAAACAAGAAGTCTGGAATTTGATCGGTGGGAATGAAGAGAAGCATGCAATCAATGGAGGTTTGAGAAACCAAGTCTGAAAAGATTTAGTGTTTGATTGGCTTGAGGAGAAGGTGAAAGAGAAACAGGCAGGAGTCAAGGATGACAGATTTTCTTGCAGGACCGCCACGTTGTCTCTTAACCATCTCCCATGGTCTCCTTACATGGATTCTTGCCCCTCCAAACCATGCTCCATACCGCAGCTGGGTTAATCATTTAAAAACGTAAACTTAAGCACTCTGCTGCCTGATGAAAGCCTCCCATGGGCTTCCCCACTGTCCTTAGGATGATGTCTCCCCCCAGCCCCCCGACATGGTTGGCGAGTGTTCACCAGTCTGGGCCTGCCTCTCTGTGGCCTCACTGAACGCAAAGGCCTTCTGTGGCTTTTACACCAAAGCCACACTAGACATCGTTATCTCCTTTCCTCTATTTTCTCCAGACTTCGGCATTTCGTGTGCATCTTCCCAATCCTCATTCCTACACTATTATCTCTCAATTAACCTTCAAGGTCCTAATTTCAACATTAGTTCTTCTGATAGACTTCCCTATCCCCCCAAACTAGGCTAGATCTCCCTTATCACCAGCCCCTGCATGACCTGTTACTTCCCCTCTGTCCTATCCTGCTCCTAAAATTACTTGTTCAAGGCTGACTTCCTCTGATAGATTGTAGGGTGCTTGAAGGCAGGGACCTGCTCCCCTGGTTCAGTTTTGTAGCCACAGTGCCTAACATATTGCTTAAGGCACAGGAAGTATCCAAACAATATCTGCTGAGTTTCACTGAAATTGGAACAACTGGAAAGATGGAAGGGGGCGGGGTCCATTTTGACAAGGAACATGGGCAAGGAGGTAGACCAAGGGTCAGGAGAGATTATCAAGGGGAAGAAATGAAGAGAAAACTAGCTCAAAGCCTAACATGGGGGGAATGCCTACACTTCTCTGGTTGGTAGAGTGTGAAACAGATATGAAGATTCAGAAGGGACCAACAAAGAGGTGGGAAGGCAAGAGAGGTCCAGAAGAACACAGTGTTTGGGAAGCCGAGGTGAGACCAGGTCAAAAAGGTGGAACGGGGATTTGTTTTTTTAAACCTATCTCAAAATCTTTGGCTGAGGTTGAAGTTGGATGTTTTAACTCTATCCACATTTAAAGCCCAACTGTCTGTGTTAATAGCATGAGGAAATGGCCCCAGATAATCAGCAATTTCAGTCTCCTCTATAACTACAGATGATATTTAGAAATCAAATGAGAGACAGTCCCTCCAAAAAACAAAACTGAAACACAATAGCCTCTACAAAAGAGAAGGGACTGGCTTCAATTTCACTTCAACATAACAGACACACTGAGGTATTAAAGAGGAGACTCTAGAAGCCCAGATAAACCAAATGGACAGGATGAGGGATGTGGAGTGACAACCCAACTGTAGTTGGTTGGCTCTGCACCATCCCTTCCTTCATGGCGTGCCCTGTGGCTTTCTGGCAGGTATACAAATGGGGATTCCCAATCTCATCTAGAAATCTCTAGACTAGGTATTCTTAACCTTGGATACATGGATAGAATTCATGGGACTCTATGAGCTGGATCTTTACTTTCCCGAATCTCTAACTGAAGTTCAACATTCCCTTCAGTTATGAAGACAGACAGTACCCCACCAGGAATATTAGAAGAACCCATGACTCTGTCACCGAGAATTTTCATACCATGGTACAGTTACAACAAACAGCTCAAATACTCATCACTACTTTGTAATTCTGGTGGTTATTTCATGCATCAGTAGTGCACAATATACATTTTTATTTCACAAATTAAAAAAATATTTTGACAACTTTATTTCAACATTATTGGTTGCAATCCTTTGTGTTTTAATTTCTGCATTTAAAAACATTATTCAAGGGGCATCTGAGTGGCTCGGTCAGTTAAGTGTCTGACTCTTGGTATCGGCTCAGGTCACAAACAGTTCCTGGGTTCGAGCCCTGCATCAGGCTCCATTTTGACAGTGCAGAGCCTGCTTGGGGGATTCTCTCTCTCTCTCCCTCTCTCTCTGGCCCTCCCGTGCTTTTTCAAAATAAATAAATAAACTTAAAAAAATTAAAAAACATTATTCAAGGAAGGGTTCATCAGAGCGCTACACTGTGGAGTACGAAGCATTCCTCGGCCTGATGATGATGTCGAGTTTTATAAAATTTCTGCATGTAAGAGACTCCACTTTGAAGTCCCATTTTCCTTTCCAACTAATGAACTCTTCAGCTAGCAGCTGCTCATAGAATTTCAACAGTGCAACTGGCGTTTGGATCATAGGAGGACAGTGAGATTAATTCATACATGGAAGGGATAGTGTCATTTGATAGCACCAATAAAATCATCAATAAGTTAATAATCAGAAGCAGCTCAACTGGTCAGCATCAGATTAGCAGGTCCTTTTGTTTTGTTTTCACTTCTCTTCTTCACCTAAATTATGTGATTAACCTCTCCTTCTTTCTCATATAAACCGCTTGCTTTTCCCACGTGACCACGATGCTTTTCTGGTTACTCCAGAATCTGTGCTCCCTGAATTGCAATTCTGCAATCCCCAGATAAAGTCCTTTGTTCTTTTTCTGTTTCTCTTTCTTTTCCTTGGTTGACATGCATCATCTAGTCTTTCTTTTTTTCTACTGCACAGACATTCTAATAATTTTCTCCCATTAATGAAGCCATAGAAGTGGGTAAGATTACCAAGAGAGACTTTTCAAGAGAGGAGAACTGGGTCAAAGCCAATCACAGAAAACATCTAATCACGTCTGGCTGGTAGAGAAAGGGGGCCAGGTGAAGAACACAAGAATGGCCTGGAAACCCTGGAAGAAGAGGAATGAAATTCCCTAGAAGCCAAGAAAGACCAAATTTATCATCTATTGTTGTTTTGTTGTTTTTTTTTTTTTCTACCGAATATCAAAGGAAATTTTGATTTCATGCTAAAAATAAAAATAGACACACCACCCCAGGTCTGGGGACACACTGGTGTGTGGGTAATGAATTCCAGGGAGAGCCCCTGCTCACCTCCTCACTTTCCCCTCTTCAAGTGACCTAGGGACCGTGATGGCTCCTCAGTGACACAGAGCTTGCCTTCCATGCCCATGTTAGAAGATGCCTCTAGAAACCAGCTTTGAAATGACTTATTTCTGGGACCTATCATTTTATTTCCTTTAACGGCCAATAGCTGGCTACTC